ATAATTCAAATGAACTATATAAAAGATAAAATAACTTGGCTCTTTCTTAAAAGTGAAAATGAGAGGACAATCCAACAGTTTAAAAAGCCACTACTCAAAATGTAATTTTATTTTAGGCATAATATATAAATGTGTTTGTTAACTTGGTTTCAACTAATATTTACACCCTCTAATTTTGGACGTACATAAATAGACACTTAAATTTGTATAAAGTTAAACAAGTAGATACATGATCCTATGTAGCATCCTGAGTGAAAATTTGTATCATGGTCCTAGATGTGTAATGTCACGTAGGATGCGTGTGTCTGTTTATTCAACTTTATACAAGTTTAAGTATTTACTTGTACACACTCGGAGGGCATAAATGACAGTTGAAGCCAAGTTAAATGGCATATTTATGTATTATGTCTTTATTTTATGAAGAATTTGAATTTCATATGGTCGTCATGCTTTATCTCTGTATAGTTTTCAAATATATAAATATTATTTTAAAAACTTAAAATATCTATATCCCAATTCATAATCAAAATTAAAGTCTTTTTAACCCTAGTGTTCCAAATGCCTTCACATTGAGACAGAAGAAAGGGAAAATGCATAAGTACCCCTCAACTTATGCCCGAAATCTCAGAGACACATTTATACTATACTAAGGTCCTATTACCCTCTGAACTTATTTTACAAATAATTTTCTACCCCTTTTCGGCCTACGTGGCACTATCTTCTGGGCCCAGCGCGTGTTGACAATTTTTTCAAGCTATATGGTTAATAGTGCCACGTAGGCCAAAAAGGGATTGAAAATTATTTATAAAATAAGTTCATGGGGTAATAGGACCTTAGTATAGTGTAAGTGTGTCTCTGGAATTTCGGGCATAGGTTGGGGGGTACTTATGCATTTTCCCAGAAGAAATATAAACTAGCTATTAGTAGTATCATTTATCTAGAGAGAAAATAGCCAAAAGACCCCCTAATCTATTACCTAATTCTCAACTACACACTTGTACTTTACGGGAGTCCTACTCTCCCTTAAACTATTTTAAAGTGGAATTATTTGCTCCCTGAATGTTGAGATGGCAAAGAAAGTGTAGTTCACTCTCTCTTGAGAGAGTGAGAAGCAAAAATAATAATTAAAACTTTAATTTTTAGATTATTTTTAGTTTATATTGGTTTTCTGTTTTTTTTTTTTTAAATTAAGTTTCCTTTCAGTTTCAGTTTTTTTTTTTCTTTTTACCTTTTTTTTTTCCCTTCACCATAGCAACATCGATAGAAACTCAGCTCCACCACCAAGTCCTTCGTCAGCCTCCCACCATTAAGCGGATTTCATCCTCAAATCACAATTTTTTCACGGTAGATCCATTTGAAAATTTGACAATAGCTTAAAATCAAAATTAAAAACGAAAGTCAAGAGGATCAAATTTTACTGTCATTAATGGAGAAATTTAGGAACCCTTGAGTGAAATTTATAAGTTCCCTTAGTTATGTTATCCTGACCCAACCACCGTACATAATTATCGCGCCGTCAATCGCCATCTACCTCCGCCGTGAACCACCGGGTTCATCTTTAAAGTTGCTAAGCTCTCAATAATTTCAACTAAAATCCAAAACCCACTTTGAAAAATCAAATCTGAAGTCTCCAAATATTGAAAATTATCAGTCTTTTGTGTTTATCACTAAGCTTCAATGCAGCCCATTTATTGCGTATCCTACCAAACAATATCAAATGGTAAATCTTTTTACTAGTTTGAAAAATCATTTCATCAAAGTAAAGAAAAAAAGGAGCAAGAAAGGAAAGAGAAGAAGGGTAATATAAAAGGAAAAGTAAAATAAAGGAAAAAATATTTTTTTTAAAAAAAGGTAAATTACGTGGCAAGCGCATGCCACTTAATTTTTTATACAAATCTGGGCGTGAGTTTTTAAAAGGTATATATTATACTTTTAAAATGTTCAAGGGGTAATAGAACCCCCACAAAGTATAAGTGTGTAGTTGAAAATTTGATAATAGATTAGAGGGGCTTTTGACTATTTTCTCTTTATCTAGACATGACCTTACTTTGTTTGGATAAGAAATTTCCTTGATAATAGTTTCATTTTAAATAAATATATATTTTATCTGAATGATTATTCGTGGAAAATAAAAAAAATGTTAAGATAATTTGACAAGAATATTTTATTAAAATATTCATTTTTATAGGAAAAGAAGAAGAAGAGAAACTCACATAATAGGCTCAAAGTCCATTGTGATCTCATCTATAATAGAAAAGGCTAAGAGAAAAGTTTGAATGTGTAAAAAGGTGTAGAAAAAATTAGTTCACCTTTGATAAGGTGAATAAACAAGTGACTTTGACTGAAGCTTCAACTTAATAGATAAGGTTTGCATGCTGTGTTTTTTTTTTCTCCATCCAATATTGTGTCCGCATTGAAGCACCAACTAAATCTAATTTCCACACTATAAGGCTTATTAGGGGATGACACTCCCAACAAAATTTTCTTCAGACCCAAAACTCAAATCCGAGATCTCTAATTAAGAACGAAACAATTTCACCACTGCACCACAACCCATATTACGTTTATCTATAGGTTTGATAAGACCTCTTATATGAAATTTCTTAGGGGGCAACTATTTATCTTGTGCATGAATCAGAACACAAGGAAAACTGACTTAATCCTTGGAATCTAACAATTTCACTAGGTAAAAGTAATCTATATTTAACTTGTATATTTACTAAACTTAATCTTTTCAATATGGAAAAAAAAAATGACTCCCTTAAGGTCTTATAATCCTGACAGTTGATGTAGTTGATAATCCTGAGTTCTAAAGGATAACTTGTTTGTGCCCTAAAGCATATCACTGTAAGCATCTATTCTGTTATCTATAGGCAAAAAAGACAATTACAGATTCATTGTAATTCTCACATTTATTTGAAGATACTTATTTTGGATGGGTCGCACCAATAGGACGAACTAAATGAGTTCTGACTTCTGCATCATGAACTTTGTATAGCGCAAATTACCTAGACGGTTTCTTGAAAGACATAGGGAAGGAATGGAGAAATCGAGCGTTGTTTGCACCATATCCAAGTGATCCAGCCAAAGAAGCAATGTCACTCCATCATTATCAAACTGACTGCAATCTCTTACTGTCCATGAAGGTCCCCCACCAAAGCGCCTTCTACAGATCAGAATCATTCTCAACAAGTGATTGCCATCCACTCTAACAAATCCTAAGTACTAACTTCCCCACAGAACTGTTTACATGCCTGCCTGCCAGGGGCAGAAAATCAAAATTAAAATCAAATGAGATAAAAGTTCATTCACAATATAAAATGAGTCAAGGAGACAACTAATCAAGGGTGAAAGTCACAATTTTAAACTATATGCGGCAAAAAATCCAAAGAGAAAGAAACATACTCAATCTTGCAATTCTAAAGAACCATCTGTAACGAAAAAATGAGGGAAAAAAATACTAACAAATATTACGTCTCTCATCTTGAGCAATCTTTAGGCTAAACGGAACAGTAAGAAATCAATGAATTAGTTCAAGACACATGCAACGACTAGAAGCAACAGCTTGCAGTTGCAGGAAGTAAAAACAATATCAAAAGCTTCAGCTAACTAAACACTCAGTTTTCGAAAACCTCTGTAGTAAACAAAATGGAAGTACATGTCCTTGAGATACAAAGAAATCCTCCCTACCTACTCCCTCCATCCCAACTTATGTAACACTTCCTTTTTTAGTCAGTCCAAAGAAAAATGACACACTTCTATTTAGAAATAATTTAACTTTAGATTTCTCATTCTACCCTTAATGAGATGATTTATAGCCAGCTTATATTAGATCACAAGTTTCAAAACCATGTGCTCAGTCAAACACCATCACATAAATTGGGTTGCAGGGAGTAATCAATTTGTATGTATAGCCACTTCAGTTTTGCTCACCCTTACTCTAAAGTATCTTTCTTCTGGGAACATGGTCAATCATAAGTTTTTAATTTATGCCAAGTAACCATGTCAGACAAGTCCTCTCAATATGGATTAAGAGAATAACATTCTTACCTTCAATACCGTAACAACAATATTATTCGTCCAAACATATCGAGACAAAACTGCAGATGGAAAACAACCACTTTTTTTTTTCTCACAAGGAGGGGCTAGCTTGAAGCCTGAAAATACACATATAATTAGTGATAGAAAACTGAAGAAAAACAATCACGTCATCCAAGGAATAGAGAAAACCCAGGCTAGAATCGCTTCTCTCCCTGAAAAAAAATTTGCAAAGATGAAGTTAGTAAGTAGGGAAATATAAAAATTAGAATAAGATACATAACCCAGCAGCCTTGTAGAATGCAATTGAACAAGCCATAATAATCTTTTCATAGCTGCAAACATTACCTCAGTTAAATATTCATATAAATTGCAATCATGGTTTGTCTTTTTGCATCTGCTGAGTACTCGTAAAAAATGCTTGAAAGGTGGCTTGCAAATTTCCCAGATTCACCTAGACACATGCAATCATAACATCTTTCGCTTCCAATCCTCGATGCCAAGATAACCAGAACATCCCATAAAGCAATCCATCTTCCAAGGGAAATCCAAATATAACCCTCTCGAAAATCTGTAGGATAATGTCAAAGACAGTGGTGTTTAATTTATCAATGTTATCAAACACTATAACAGAGTATGTAATAAGCTAGGTCGCTGAGTCACTAGTCTCATCTGTCTCACTAATACTGCAACAAGAGCTACAAGTAACAATAATGAAATAAGCTTTACCTTAACGGATAAATACTCATCCCAACTCACCTTTTGAATGGTGAAAGCAGGAGGGAAAGAAATATATAACCAAATAAGTGATGTGTGCAAATATTATGTATAGTCTGTAGAAGTGACATGTAAAATTACCGCAATAACACTGGGAGTGACAGCTAGACATCGCCTAAAGCTTTATGTATAGTCTGCAAAAGTGCAGATAAAATGCCACAAAGTCTTGAATGGCCCTTGCAAGAAAGTTCAAATTCCCCTGTACTTCTGTTTTAGAAAGAATACTACTAAGTCCATCGTGCCAAGTTTCCTAACAACTAGCTTTAGAGGCCAATATTTTTTTATTTTTTTTATGACCGTGGTGTTTGGGTCAGCTTTCGCACACCTCGACTAATTAATTCCATGGAATACCTGCCACCTCCCACCAGCAACATGTATGTCCACCAAGGCCAGGACAGATGGGAAGAATCACCTAGTATTTTTTTTGTCTCCGTTGAGTTTTGAACCTGAGACCTTAGGGTTCTCAACCACTTCATTGACCACTAGGCCACACCCTTGGGTGCCTTTAGAGGCCAAGATTTGCTCTTCTTGGTGTAAGGCTTCCAATTCTTTTTCCACCTGCATTGCGTATCAAACTCGGAGTTGGTCATAGTTCAAATACTTGAATTAGAATTAATAAGTGCAACTCGGTAAGGAATATTATGCCATATAACTAGAAGAAATAGAAATAAAAATGGTATTTTCTAAGTAGAATAAACTCCCACTACAAAGTTACAAAAAAAATTTGAACTGTTTGTGAAAAAATGGATATATGAGTTTGCCAAGTTGATTACCTAGAGTCACAATAAAAAAAATGCAGATTATATTGAGGCATAACTCAACAAGAAGAAAACATACCCAATATAGCTCTGGTATGATTGTATGATTCTTTGTTTACGGCAAGAAACACTAGAAGAGCTCAAACCATATCTAGAGAAGCTAGTCAATTTTGTCTGAAGACAAATAAGCTCTACGTGAAACCAGTAACAATTTTTGCCACTTCATTAGCATTATCATACTCCCCTTTTGAACACAATAAAGCAATACAAGAATAATAAGAATTGAAGTCGAGGAACTGTGTTATTTGAGTGTCTTTATTATGACGGTTGTTTGATGCCTTCACTGATGTCCAACTCTCGCATGATCTGGAGTCTATATCTGTTTTGTATTTGCAGGACGAGTTTTTAGAATCGACTCTCTTCTCTCTAACGGGGAAAAACATGGACACCACTTCATTGAGAATATTAACTGCCTCTTGGATGCTTCCTTGCTCACACAACAGAGAAAGAAAACTTCTAATTGACTCTGTTTCAATTTCACTTTCAACTCTGCCAAGAAGATCAATGACAGATTTTGATTGAAACATCTCCCTCAAAATGCATCGAGATTCTTCCATCCTTCCTTTATCACATAAACCTCTCACCAAGTACATGAAACCCAAGAAATCAGGTAGTGTACCTCTCGTTTTGAACTCAGAAAAGAACCCAAGAGCTCCCTCCATGTCACCCTTCTGACAATAGCTGTTAAGTACTGCACCGACAGTGAATTCATCTGGAGTTAGGCCTTTAGCTTGCAAATCAAGAAGAAGCTTCAAAGTTTCCTGGACTTGACCTAACTTGCTGCATCCATCAATTAATGAATTGTATATGTGAGTATTCGGTCTAAGATCCTTTAGGGACATTTCCTCAAACAACCTCCTCGCATCTTCTAAAAGACCTTCTTTTGATAAAGTGTCAATGAGTATACCATATGTGATTTCTGAAGGAACTATATTATTCTTTTCTAATGAATCAAATAACCGAAAAGCTTCAACCACACACCCTTGACGACACAACCCATTGATAACTGAGTTATAGGTTACAATATTGAAAGAAATTTCTTTATTCTTGGCAAAATTACAGAGATCTAATGCCCTGTCAATATGTCCTCCTTTGCAAAGGCCGTCAATAACAATTGAGTAGTCAACCACATCCAAGAGCGGTAGCTTATCTCCCGCTCCCACAATAAGGTCAAAAGCATCCAGATATCGGCCACCTTTTGTCAGTGTCCTCAAAACTATAGCAGGAAAAGTTACCGCAGATACGTCACCTTTCATAGTAGCAAGGAACCGAAGTGCAGTTTCTATATTTTTAATGCAAAGAAAGTACACAAGTATCTCCTTTTCTCTAAGCTCAAACATCCCATAATTTTTTATGAATGTTGTCAAAAGGAGGCCAGTCAAAAAGGTTTTGCCACCATAGAGAAGAGATCTCATTATAAGATAGTAAGAGTTCTTGCTTAGTACAAAACCATTACTTTGGATCACCAATGCAGCCTCTGATAATCCTTTGTTGCACAGGAAAGAAACAGCATCGTTACACAATGAACCAAATTTTTCATGCTCAATTCTTCCCAATCTCTGAAACAAATCTAAAACTCCATCAGCACCCTTAACTCCAAAGATCTTTTTGATTAATATCATATAGATCCTTGTACTTAAAGGCAGACCTCGATCTATTAGTTCAACAAATACTTCAACTGCCATGTCCGGCATGTCATTCTCACAAAGCCCCTGAATGGTGCAATTGTAACATGCAGCTGAAGTTATAGATGCCTTCCTAAATTCATCAAATATCTCAAGAGCCTCATCTAGCATTCCTACTTTTGAGTAACCTTCAATCATTGTACAGTACGTAACATAATTGGAAGTCAAGCCCATATCCGATATTTTCTTATATATGGAAAGAGCATCCTCAAATAACCCCATCAAAAACAAGCCTTTTAAAAGCAAGTTGCACATAGTAACATCCAGAGAAACATCAGCTGCTTCAACTCGATTTTTTGTTTCTAGCATTCCTGTGACATTTTCTTCTTGCATATAACCATGTAACAACGTACTATATGTGATAATATCTCCGGGGAATCCCTTAGACACATCATCAGCCTCAATCATCCTCCCTGCTTTGCACAATCCATTAATAATGGTGTTGTATGTGACAACACTAGGTTTTATGCCTCTCTTCTCCATTTCACCGAGCAGTTCGAATGCACGTTCTATGTCACCCTTCCTGCACACACCATCAATTAACACTGCATAAAGAAACTCATCCGTTTCAATCTGCAAATCTTCAACTATCGTAAACACTGCAAACGCCTCACTCAGTTTCCCTTTCTTGCAAAATCCTAATATCACTGCTGTAAGAGTAACCAAATTAGGTTGCAGACCACGTTTTTTCATTGTGTATAGGAAACCAACTGCTTTCTCCACATGCCCCTCCTTTGAAAACCCATCAATAAGTATTGTATAGCTTATTGTATCCAACTCAATTCTCCTACACACCATCTCATTGTGTTTGCAGAGTGCCTCTTCAATTGCCCCTTCTCTAAAATACCCATATATCCAATTACTGTAAAACACAACATCTAATTCTAATCCATATATCTGCATCCTAGCAACCAAATCCGAAACCTCGTTGATTCTTCCTAACCTACAATAAGCACTTAATAGTGCTGTATAAGTAACAACATTGGGCTTCAAATAACCTAAACTCACAGCATTCTCAAAGAACTTAACAGCAAGTTCAGCCTTTCCAACACTCAAAAACCCAGAAATCACACAACTACATACAAAATTATCAAATGGGTATTTATTTTTCTCATTGTTCATCAAATCTAACACATGAATTGCCTCATCCATCTTTCCCTGACTACATAAACAGTAAATCAATGAAGAGTAAGTGTACGAAGAAAGCAAAACACCATCACTCACTGAGCAATCCTGCAGTATGGAAAGCGCCTTTTCAGGGTTTCTTTTACAGAGGGGTTGAATTAATGAATCAAATAAGCTTTTCTCCATCTGGGTATTCTTCTTCTTCAAGTACTGAACTGCCTCATCATATTTATCCTCTTTGACAAGGGCTTGTATGAAAATTCTGCGTGTCTTGGAATCTTCTTTGAATTGGTTTGATTTCACCAAGTGTATGATAAGTTTGAATCTTTTGGATTTAGAAAGGAAGAGGAGGAATTGATTGAAGTGAGTGGTGGTGGGAGTGAAACCACTCTTCAATAGAGAAACAAGGGAGAGAGATTGAGAATTGGCAGGCAAAAGGAAGGTAGAGAATGGTCTGATGTTAGAAATCTTAGAGAAAATCATGGCCTATAGTACTATACAGTGAGATTTGGCAACTTTCATAGAAGTAATTTGAGAAAAATGAAAAACCAAGAGCAAATACTCTTCAAATCCCAAAAATGAAGAGCTTAATGCAGCCAAGTTCTTCTTCAATATTTGTCCGATCAGGTTTCAGTGGTGTTGCATAACTTTGCCTCTCATTTCCACCGGAGCCGAGTTCAGAGTTTTTGCTCCATCAGCAAAGATTTGAGCAGAATTTGGGCGAGAAGAAAATAAAAGGGATGATTTCATAAACATCCCCTAAGATTTGGTTATGTAACACTAATCACTTGTAATTTATATTTGTTCACTTTTAATTGTCATATTATATTTTTTGAAAATTAATTTGACTAATTTTTAAATTTAAATTAAATTATATTAATTTGATATTTAAAAAAAAATTAGATATTAAAAAGCTATACGAAAATTACTATAAATTGGAAATTTTTACATATAAATATAATGAAAAATACATCGTAAAATGTTAGTCAAAATTCATATAGTTTGACTCTTAAAAAAGAAATCATGACAAATAAAAAAGAGATTGAGGGAGTAGTTATTAGGCTAACCTTTCTTATTTAAACTTTTTCTGTAATAACAAATATTTTAATCTATTTATAATCAAAGTAATGAAAAATAATCAAGGAATAACTTCATACACTTTTCGTTAAATTTGACTTCATAACACTAATTTACGATATTGTATGTATATATTGGTTGAAATATGAATTCAACACGTGGACAACTTAGAGAATGATGTGTTGTAGAATGTTTCTGGTGGGATTCAAGTCAAGAAGACAATTTTGACTTAAAATTATGAGAATGTCCAGACAATTTATATCAGACCTGCATTAAATGGTCTTTCTCCAAAATAGAGTTTATGATAGGCCATAATCGGTCCAATATGATAAGCTTCACATATTAACCAGCTTCAAAAAATCTAGAATTCACTATGATGGTTATGTATCCACGTACGTGATAAATGCAAAGTACAAATAATGATCATCATAGGCTGCTAAATGCTTGAGAAATATTGTTTTAGGGTTAAGTTATAAATACACCTTATTTCTCTCTCACTTGTATTCCAACAAATTTTCATTTTTACTACTAAAGATCTTGAATTGGAACAAACCACAAATACTCCATCAAGTCAAATTGTTTGACAATTTTATCAAGACTCTAAGTAGGCGTTTGGTCATGCAATACCATATCACGATATGGTATCGTGAGATGAAATCAAAGTTTGAACATGTGATTTTACGTTGATTCCATCTCATGATTTCATATCATGAGATGTGATTCCATATTCTCCAAAAACCATGATATGGAATTATATGGAATTCCATATCATGATTTGAGATATTTTAATACAAAAATTGATTCACGAGTTTATATTTTGTTAAAACAACCCCACATTTATATCTACTAACCATTTATTTCATATGTAAATAAAATTTATAATCACATCTTTACTTTTTAAAATTTATTATTCTCATCGACATAAAATTTATTATTCTCACCAACATATAGTCACTTTAACTCACACCAACCGATTGTTAAGTAATAAATTTATTTTATGGCCTTAATAAGTGCACATTTATATTTTATGAGTAAGTTATTAGTATTTAGATACATATTTTCTATCAACTTTTCTTTGCTTTGGAAGCACTATTTTTATTACTCTTACAAACATTATTTTTATGAAGTGTATTCTATAATGCTTCCAATTTATTTTATGTTCACTAAACTAATATTGATGTATTTTTTATTTGGTAGAATTGTGTTGGTGCAATTGATGGAACATATATAGAAGGGGAGGTTCCTAAAGCAGTGCAACAAGCATATCGTAATCGCAAAGGAAGAACATCACAAAATGTCTTATGTGCTTGTGATTTTGATATGTGATTTATCTTTGTTGCTGTTGATTGGAAGATACTGCACATGATAGTATAGTACTTGAGAATGCACTTGTTGAACCAACGTCACAATTTCCATTTCCGCCACATGGTAACTTTAAATTACATCCTTAAAATAAATATTATTTTTTTACACAAAGTTGTCTCATTTACGTCACATATGTTTTTAGTAATTCTTTATAAAATGTTTGTTGGTAGATAAATATTATGTTGTTGATTCTGGTTTTCGAAACACAAAAGGATTTTTAGCTCCATACAAAGGACTATGCTATCATTTGCAAGATTACCGAGGAAGTGAAAGAGAGCCTCAAAATGCCAAAGAACTATTTAGTTATAGGCATTCATCTCTGCGCAATGTGCTTGAACGGACTTTTGGAGCTTGGAAAAATAGATTTAGAATACTGAAACAAGACATGAATCATTATGATATTGATACACAAGTGAAAATTATCATAGCTTGTGCAGTGTTACATAATTATTTGCTAGAATACCAAAGTATTGATGAAATATTTATGGTCTATGAGCATGAAAATATAGTTGCATATGATATTGACCAACAAATGGCTCAAAGTAACAATGTTGGTTCGTCTTCTCGGTCACATGATCGAGAAATGCAAGTTCAACGTGAGGAAATTATCCGTACTATGTGGGAGGATTATATTAAAGACTAGTACACTACAATTTATGTTCAATTTTGTTTTTATTAAATTAAAGTTAGATGAAACAATTATTTAAGTGGAGAACAAATAGCTTTGTAATAATTTATTATGCGATTTTATAAATTTTTATTTATTTGATAAGAATGAATAAATAATTGGGGCTATTTTAATAGTTTTACAACTTATGTGATTTTTATGTTTATGAGAAAATATACAACACAAAAATTTCATATCGCATGTTCAAACAAAACTTCAATTTCATCTCATAATTCCATATCATGATACCATATCGCATGGTCAAACGGGCCCTAAGTGGGGTAAAATGGGAGTTAGTCGATTAAATCTCCTCACTTACGCCTATTACTTTGAAAAGCGAAATCACTCACGCTCTAAGTTCTATCTAGCAATAAATTAGGATTCTTCATCTTCTTACTTCAGTTTAAGGATTCTATTAGGATTTTTCCTTTCAAGTATGTGAGATTTTATCAATGGGTACCCTTTCACCTAGGGGTGTACAAAATCGAATCGAAAACCAAATTAAATCGTTAATCGAGTCAAATCGGAAAAAAATTTGATTAGTGGTTTGGTTTGACTTGGTTTGGTATCGGAAAAAAATCCTATTATATTTGGGTTGGGTTGGTTTCAACTAAAAAAACCAACCTGAGACCAAATCAACCCATCATTATATATAATTTTAAAATTTTATTTTATACGTAAAAATAATTACTTTGATATAATTTTTAAATATTTCGTATACTTTTTCATAGTTTTTATCGTTTAATATATTATTTCATGTTTGAAAGTTAGAATTCTTAATGACTCAATAAAAATTATAGTCCATAGATGTTGGTAATTATAATAACGCTTAAATCAAAATCAAGTTAATACTAATGCAAAAAGAAAATCAATTCAACACTAAGAATGACAATAATATTGAATATTTGTTCTTTAGTTTTACATAGGTTTAGACAATTAAAATACATAGTCTAATTTTAATTTCCTTTAATATTTAGTCATGTAACTAATACTTATTAAACTTATTTTAGCATGATTTTGTACTTTTAAATTATGATCATTTTCATGATTACGTATTAATTTGCAATATTTGTTTTACCCGATTTCATTATTAGTTTTTTTGTTGGATATCTTAGTGTCATTAATCATATCATATTTTGTGTTATTTTCTTAAGAAACAACTTAGATAGTTGTATTTTGGTAGGACTAAAGAAATATTTGAAGTACAAGTAAATTATATGTTTGTATGAATACTTTATCGGAAAAACTCGAAAACTCGAAAATCCGAAAAAACCCGAGGTTGAAAAACCTGAGTTTTATTGATTTAGTTTGGTTTATAAATTCAAAAATTGACACAAATGGTTTGATTTGATATTTGAAAAAGCAGAACCAACCCGGCCATGTACACCCCTACTTTCACCCATTGAGTCCTAAAGAAAACTTCGTTCTTTAGTTGATTAATTCTATAAAACCTAGAATTTCAATGAAAATCATGAATTTCATCATATTTTAGTGAGAAAATATATAATTACCCCATTCAACTATAACATTTTTTCTAAAAGGACACTCAAACTTTACAAAGATCCTAATACCTCATTGAACAATTTGAAAGTAATACAAATACCCCATTTTTGGGTCAAACCCACTTATAAGAAAGAAGGTGAAGTCACGCACCAATTGTTGCTTGCCATGTGTCAATTTTTTATATAATTTCCTAATCTTTGTTTTTATTTATGTTTTTTTTTTGTTTGTTTTGATTCTTTATTTTTTCTTTCTTCTTCGCTTAACCCATCTGTTGGTCTCCTTCGTCCTGTAGTGTCCGCCATTGCTACAACACTAAATCAAAATTAAAACTGGAAAATCAAATCCGCTTTCAAATTTTTTTTTTTCAAATTAAATTTTTTGTCAAAGTCTTCTTTTTGTTTATTTTGCCTTTAATTTTTGCTCTAAAATCAACCTGGGTTGTATTTGAAAAAAAACAACAAAAATTCTCTTTCCGAACGCAGATGAGATTATTTTTGCTTGATCTTAACAGGATTTCAACCCTTGTAAATTGATCAGGGGTTAATTAAAATAACGTCGACGATTCTATAATCGAAGTCGCCATCATCTCTCCGGAGCTTTTCACCCCAGCCGACCAAGAAGGAGGAGAAGAAATCTGAGGATGAAACAACAAATCTGTTGTTGCTTCCGTTATCAATGGAAGAAAGCCGACTAAAAAGGCATTTTTTTTTATGGACTGAGATTCTGTTATTTAGTTACAATCAAATCTCTCCGTCGAAATTCAATCTAAATGAAAAAAGAAAAGAGAGAAAAAAAAGAATAAACTTCAAGTTGTTGTCATCTCCTTCAATGGTGAAGCTCATGAAGGAGAAGAAAAAATAATTAAACAGTAAAAGAAAAGATTATTTAAATAGTTAATAAAAAATATTGCAAAAGAAAAGTTTAATCTTATTTTTTTTGGTTTCCACGCTCTTCAGGTGAGTGATATACACTCTCTCTATAAAATATCAAAAAATGGTTCAATAATTTCACATTAAACTAGTTTAGGGGTGTATTAGGACCCCCATAAAATTTGAATGTCTTTTTCAAAAATAGGTCTTACTTTAATGGGGTAATTATGTATTTTCTCTATTTTAGTTTTTCTTCATGAACAATCCATAAATACATGTTTTTTTAATCTAAAATTCAGTATTTTTATATAGCTATTTTCATGAGTCCTAAGAATAAAGAAAAATCATGTTTTTGAATATGTGTTGGTTAAATTGCATGTTTTATTCAGGATGATAGAATTTGTTACGATTAATTATACCTTTAGTCTTTCAGTTATACATGTATAAGATGATTTTAGATAAAATATACTATTTAAATCTCAAATTTTAGTATTACTGAGTTATCCAATATTATTAGTATTACTCATTTTGATATAAATTCGGTTGATAGTGTTACTTAGCACCAAACGAACATAGGGATGCAAGCTCACCTGTCAATTTATGCTGAGACCTTTACTAGCAATTCCTAAGTCCAGAACTATGTGTTGTAGGCTTGACACCTTATCGTTTTCTGGATATCAACTTAGTGGATTCCCTATATCAATGTTTTACCCTTGGCAGGGTACAGAACACTTTCCAACTGGGGTATAGGTTGGACTCCGTTTAGCTCATATGGAGCATGTTGGTTATTAATATCTTTCACAGTTCAGTGTCTAATTATTGCATGGCTTTGTATTTAGTTTATATCAGTTCAATATTAAGCAGTTCAATGTTTACTTCTTAGTCATTGCATCAATTTATGTATTTTAATTTTATATTTAGTTTATCACCTTAAATTTATCATGTTCAGCTTATTAGAATTGTGATGCATATCTCACATACTCAATAGTCAATACATTCAAATAATTGACCGCATATCTTCTTGCACAATATTATTTTATAATATAGGTTTAGATGCTTATAATCATCCAGCTTGCAGTTAATATAATTTCTGATCAACTTAGTAACAGTGTTGGTGAATCCTCATTTTTCAAAGACAACCCCTATTTCATTTAATTTAGTCATTCAGTTTACAGATAATTAGAGTTAGCTGGGGGATTGTCCTAGTAACTCATCTTAGTAGATGCTTTCAGAGAGTCTAATAGTAGTTTCAATTTTATGTTTTGTTCAAATGACATCCATTTGATTATTCAGCTGTCTTGAAATTACTTGATATTAGCTTCCGCATTAGACATTTTCAATTGTTATCTACAAATCATAGTGTCATGTTAGAATAGGTTAACTTCGGGCCACTTGTGGCTTTAAAACACTGTGTTACAACTAGAAGAAGGTCTCAGATCGCGACAATATATTAAAATAATTTTAATTAATCTTTTAAGATGATTTTTCAAAATAAAAATATTTAGTTTTGCCCAATTTTGCAAGTGAATTTCCCCCATTTTCATAAAACTCTAATTTTCTAATAATGACATACATGTATAACATAACTGAAGTTTTTTTATTCTATTTTTCTACTTCAACTGCAAATACATCTTTTTTATTTTTAAATATCACTTGTCAAACGCTTATTACGTATCATTACAAAGCATTTGAAATTGAAAGCGAATAATTAGCATAGCAATCTTTGGACCGGAGAATTCAACAATTTTTATGCAAATTATCTACTTTCTAAGGCTCAGTTGGTCAATCCAAAAATTGTTAATCCAAAATTGATTTACACAAATTGCATTTATTTTAATTAACTTAATTCCAAAGTTTGAACCACTACTACTTACCATAACAATAATATAGCTGATGTAATTTTACAACTTCACGAAATTTGTGAAGGTTAGAGTGAAACCTTATTTCTACCTCGTAGACTTAGAGATGCTTTTTTTGAAAGACCCTCGACTTAAGCACAATAAATCAAAATAATTATGAAAAAAAAAAATGAACATGAAGAAAACATGATAACTAATAAGGAAAGTAGTATAGAGCGTTTAGAAATAGACCAATTACATCTATAAAATAATGCAAAAATTGAAACATAATAAACAACAATTGATAACAGACATCAAAACAAGAAACTCAATGAATAGGCTAATACTACGACATACACAGTGCTACAAATTTTCATCAAGCCTAATCTCATTAAAAAAAAAAAACAACGCTCAACCACCTACTAGCCTTCTATCCAAATCCACAACCTCCTACTAGCCTTCTATCCAAATCCACAACCTCCTACTAACCTTCTATCCAAATCCACAACCTCTACACCCTCCTATGTAAGATCATATCCTTGATAAATTGAAATTGTGTCACATCCTATCTAATACCCTCTATCCAATGCTTCTTCGAGCTACATTTTCCTCTCCTCATACCTACTATATCCAACTTTTCACATCTTCTCATTGAGACATTTACGCATCTCCTCTTCACATGTCCAAATTATATATTAAACTTGCTTCTCATATCTTATTCACTACGAATACCACTCTCATCTTATTTTGTGTTTACTCATTTCTAATTTTATCTCTCTTAATATATCCACCGCTACTTATATTTCTTATTTGTCTTCAATTCAAAAGATCCATCACAACTTCCTCCCTAAATGAAAATAGAGAAAAAGCCAAATATGTGCATTTAACTGCTTACTATAAATGATGAGCATGACACTTTCGTGAGTACATCACAAATACGCGTTTTCTATGACATAACAAAAGACTGAAAACTTCTCACACGCCTCCTACACTTCCCCTACCTTCTACAAAAGATATTATGGAATATTTATTGCAATATCAGAAATAATTTAAATATATTTTTCTTTATAGTTTTGATAATTAGATATATTTTTCAATCATATTTTGAATTTATACATATTTTGATGTAAATCACACATAATCATTAAGAAAAAAAATTAAAATATAAATTAAATGGAGTATCACTTTTTCTCTTTTAGTTGTTTTCAAATTATTTTTTAAAATATAAGTAATTCAAATAAAAAATCATAAATATGAGCAATTAACTCTCTTAAACATATGAATGAAAGACAAAATAGAATAAATTTATAATAACTCTCTTAATCATTCGTAGAACGATTAACTTATATTGAACATTACCAAAAGGCTCAAAAATTCAATTCTTATAGATTAGACTTTGAAGAGAATAAAATATAATATATAAATATATATTTATAGATTTAACTAGTGAATATAATTATTTTTAATGGATCAGCCAGTTATAACGGGTAAATAAAACCAGTCAAGAGTTGTGTATATACTACTACTATATATATGTTTATATTTATAACCAAACATTGTGCTAAAAAGCTTCAACCTTTTGTCTTTCTCTTTATTATTCCTTTCCATTTCAAGAATCTGAAACCCCTTCCTCTCATTTCTTCTTTTGAACAGCTTCATTTTCATTTCAATAGCAGTCGCCTTCCCAAATTCGAAATCTTGTGCTAAATTCGATTATCATTTCTTTCAATTTCAATGGCAATGGCAGCGATTTCACCTGAATCCCAAATGAATCAAAGAACATGGCCGTGTAAATCGGACGGTGGTCCTCGTTTCACTGCCATTTCATTCATAGGAAAAGCAAAACATGGCAGGAAGAATGATAATCCAAGATTAACAAACAACCCCACAATCTATAATTTCCAAATCAATCCAAAAAATCAAGATTTCGCAGATTTTTCACAACTTCCTGACGATGTGCTATTGAAAATTGCTGCTAATTTCACTTTGCCTAATTTACGTGCGGCTTCACAAGTATGTAAGTCTTGGTGTGATGGGTTAAGACCCTTAAGAGAAGCTATGTTGTGTCTTAAAAATGGGAAGCGGTTTAAGCATGGGCGTGGAGGGGTGACACCTAATTTGAATAAGGCTCTTGAATCGTTCCTTAAAGGTGCGGCTCTTGGGTCTACGTTGGCTATGGTGGATGCTGGATTGGTTTATTGGGAAATGGGGAGGAAGGAACAAGGGATTGCTTTTTACAGAAAAGCAGCTGCACTTGGTGATCCTGCTGGTCAGTGTAATTTGGGGATTTGCCTCTTGCAAGGTACCTTTTTCTCAGTTTTGCTCTTCCAATTGAATTATTCTACTGGGCGTGTTAGCTGTGAATTAGGATAAAGTATTGCCCTTTCACCTTGAAAGATTCCTTCGAGAGGGCTATAGTTTTGTCGTTAGATCCCTGGAATCTTATGGTAGACTCTAGGTGGATATATCACCATTCATCTTCATTATATAGCAAGGTGACATAATTACAAGTTTGCTTATACTTGGCGTAGTTTATAGTCGTAGTTGAGTAGTCTACAAAGTCTAATCTTTTAGTGGAAAAAATCAAATTGGCAGGACGATCCTACCAGTGAAGTGAATGCATAGAATATAATCGGGTGGTTGGAAGAATGGCGGTTTGTGGTATAGATAATGTATTTTAGTAATAGTAAATGTTATACAAATTAGGCACCTTGTTGGTGCAATCAATGAAATGAATACCTTATATGTTCCGGAAAATAAATAAGATGGTAAATTTTTGTGTCGAAATGAGCACAATTTTTTTGGTCTATACGAGATTTAGCAGCCTTAGTTGTGTCAGTACATTACTAACTGTGGGATTGATTTAGCCATCCACGTTTTAGTGTCTAGAGGTCTATGCTTTTGCTTCTTATGTTATGTCCTTTTTAATTCATGTTCAGCATTAAGACTTAAGAGACTAGTTATTTGCGCTTCAGATTTTGTTTGATTTATTTATTACTTAACATTCAAATCTTGTTGTGATGCCCCTTCTAATCATTATCAGTAATTGAGGTGTGTTATCCAACGTTGAAAGATTTGGTGTAGGAGGGTGAGGTGATTCAAGTTGTTCATTTTTCTTTCCGCAAACTTTATCTTTATTGAACCAGTGGTGCTTTCAGATGTTTTGGTAAATGCAATGTATATTTGTATGTCTCTGGTGTTGGCTCTTCTCTCTTTTAACTTCCTTTACAACATCTTGTCCCCATAGCTTCCTGATATCTTTTCTGCACCATCTCTTTCATATCAATCATGCGCTAAAGACCATCGAATGTGGTTCTGGAGTACAGCCACAAGCCACCAGTTAACCAATAAGCTGCAAAATTCATTATAATGAATTGAAAGGAAATTAATTGGAGGCCAAGGATTAGGGTAGAGGGTTAGGAGGTAGTCGAACAATTTCTCTCTTTCCTGTGAGAGAGGATGGTTCTAACTTAGAACACCTTATCTGCGTCATGTTATACTTATCAATTTAAGACCATAAGCTCTAGATCAGAGGCGTATCTAAGGGGAGGTCACCGGGTTCACCTGAACCCATGGTCCCCTCCCGAGATCATATAAAGTAGTGTTATATTTTTAAAAAAATATTGAAATATAGATGTGTGAATCCACACTTGGAGTATCATGCAATTATGACTGGGTGCACCTTTACCCGCGAGGTTAGAAATCTGAATTTTATATTTATCTTGTTTTATTTTTCTTTCTAAAATTAGATAACACTTCTTTAAGTGGTAATTGGTAACACTTTTGACATTTTAATTAATTCATCAATATATATATATATATATATATATATATATATATCAGAATTAATTTTAGACCTATAATTTTAAAATTTTAACGGTTTTCAGTAATAAAAACTTAAATGTCGAACCGATCAAATTTATATCATAGATTAACCTTTTTATAATAGTGCACCCATCATCTCAAAATCCTGGATACGCCTCTGCTCTAGATATTAGGGTTTCCGCTGTAAACCGAACACAAGGGAAGGATCGTTGTTTTTACCAAAAAAGATCATTTTGTCAGGTAATGGATACACTAATATCATTCCTTTGGCTATGTATTATGTATAAGCCTTCCAAAAACAGAAAGCTTGTATGCATCAGGTTCATAGGAGTAAATACTTTCAAAAGGGATAAATATTAGTGGCTCAATTCTGTTACTTCTTTTGTTGTTTTTTACTTTGGTTATCTTTGCAATTTTTGCTGTCAGCACTTTTTTATAGTATTTTTGTTTACCATTGCCTTTACTTTTGTATTTGTCAAACCTATTTTTGTTAACGCTTTTCTTAAGCCGAGGGTCTATCGGAACCACCTCTCTATCTCACAAGGTAGGGGTAAGGTATGCATACATCTCACCCTCCTCACATCCCACTAGTGGGATCACACTGGATTTGTTGTTGTTGAAAATATAGTTTAAGGGGGGAGGTAACAGCTAGTACTAATAGTTGGGAGAGGTTATGCAGTGCCCCTCATAAAATTTAATTGGTTGCAAGTTCCCCTTTCAACACTTGAAAATTGTGAAGTTTACACTTCTCCAAGAGAACCATTATGTGCAAGTGTAGGGAAACTTGAAAGCAAACAGACTGTTGGAAGGCCTCTGCAACACTTATCCTGAAACGTTGAAGGCAGCAACACATTTTATGATTATTTGTCCTTTCTTTTTATGATTCCTCTGGTGATTGTATCTGTGAACAGGAGTAGGTTCTGCTTCTGCCAATAGTGTTTTGTTGTTTCCGTTATGCATCAAGTATGGTGAAATGTTACTTCTTTTAAATCATTATAGGTCTACATAGGTGAAGTCATGTGATCGCTAAGAGCACCCACCATTAGTGCTCACAAATGGTGGGCAGAATCGGATATGGGTGAGTTGAACATGGCTTAGAAAAGAAAAGAACGGATAAAATATCCTACCTTCCCATTTTGATAAGGACGGTTATATTGCATTTCACTATTTGCTCAAGAAGCTACCTACCTTTAACAATCAAAAAGAGAAACGTTCAAGAAGCTGTTTCTTTTTGTTGGTTAGTGGGGTGGGGTGGGGGAAATGTGTTTTCTGAAACATAAAGTCTCCAACTTTGGATGGGTCTTGTCAGCTTGTGGAAGAAAGTTGTGAAACAGGGGACTTTTCAATAGTAACTGAAAAGACGAAAATAGTTTAAAGAGCTATAGCGGGATATAGGAAAGGATAGGACTTTTTATAATCATAACTTGCAAGCAGTGTTATCAAAGGTTCTCTTAAGCCCTAAAGCGAGGGTCAAAACGTGTTGAGCACTTTGCCTCGCTTAATGTGCGCTTCAGTGTCGTCATCAAGACTCTAAGACATACTTCTCCTTGTGAATGAGCATTTCCTGAAGAGGCGATACTAAACCATTGATATTTCACTTTCTCATAAAAACAATCAATTTCTTTGTCCATATATTTGTTAATAATGCTTTATAATTATTAGTGTTGGACTAAGCATATATATATTTGTATGTTTTCTCCATTTGCGTCTTTCCTCAAATCCACGCTTTATTTGCTCTTTGCGCTTAAAGCGCCAACGAACCTTAGAGCTTTTTTGCGCTTTTCGCTTTTGATAATCATAACACTGTTTGCAAGCCATTTTAAACCAACTAAGTATGATGGACCATCAGTTAGTAGTTTGTTAAATTATATATTAGATCAGTAAGTGACATAAGATTCTCAAATAAGTAGTAAAAATACAATTTAGTGCTGAAGTCGCTATTGGTCAAGTGGTGAAAGTTGAGGAAATTAACTAGTATAAGCAACATACAAAGGGGGGAAAAGTTTTGACACTAGTAACTAAAGATAAGAAAATATATTTAAATTTCAGGACTTAGCTAAGACAAAAATGAAGTTGAAGAAAGGATTAAGTATCTAAACAGAATACAAGCAATTGCAGTGCTTATTGTTAAATAGTTTTGTCTGGTATAGGTTTTAAGTTAGTTTTGATATTCATATCGGTTCAATAGTTTGGACTGCATAAATTAGTTTCAGTGTAGTAATACTAGGTTTACCCAATATAGTGAGGGAAAAAAAGAGTAACACCAGAAGCAAGATATTGTCAAATACAACTCACACTTACACAGGATATGATCACATCTAGTTAAAAATGAAAACTGAAAGAAAAAATAAATATGAAAGTCGACACTAATGGTAAAACATGAAATGCTAAATCTTGTTTACATAACTTACGAGAATCTTTGGGTAGCGACGAGCAAGTCCCTTTTTGCCATAGGTTTTATGGGTTTGGAAGGATTGGGATCTTAAAAACCATATTTATCCATGAAATATTCATTTTTCAAATGGATAACATGGATATTTGATCATTATCCAACCATTTTTAATTGGGCGGTTGGGTCATGGATGGATACTTGTTTTTCAAATCCGTTTTGCCAATGCTACCTACAGAAACTAAGCGTTTGATTTGCATTCTATATGTAAGCATTTGTTTTACAAGTTTTAGCATTAATTTTCATTACTTTTGGTTATTGTGTCTCTATGCAGTAATGACCACTTTACTCTATGCAGCTAACCCTCCGGACAGTGAGGAGGCTATTAAATGGCTTTACAAAGCTTCAGTTGCAGGCTATGTTCGAGCTCAGTACCAACTTGCCCTTTGTTTACATAAAAATCGTGGCCCGAGTTGGAATCTTCGTGAAGCGGTATGAAAATTTGTTTGCTTTATCATTATGTTCTTGTAGTAGACGTACAATATCACTTTGATTAACATTGTTCAAATTTTAGATCATATCATACTTTTAAGGTTCTGGAATTTCAGACTTCTGAGTTGTCAAGTAAATTTGATTGAAATCGAGATTTAATCTATAAATTCCAGAGCAGCTAGCATTATCAGTTAGGTAATATAAGGGGATTCTTTATCATACACAAACTGGAAATTTAAAAACCGTACCCCCAAGAAGCAGCACTGTGAAAAATGGTCCTAAACTTGGCTCCATGGGACCTAAAAGTTTAAATTCACGATCATGGTTAAACAAAAAGTTATCCGTATTTGTCTTTCTATACAGATGACTGGATTGTTCCTATGATGACTTTACCTGTGAAATGCAGGTAAGGTGGTTTCTGAAGGCAGCAGAAGGTGGATATGTCCGTGCTATGTACAATATAGCAATGCGCTATTCAGTTGGAGAAGGTTTAGTTCAATCTCACAAATTAGCAAGGAAATGGATGAAGAGAGCAGCTGATCGCGGGCATAGCAAAGCCCAGTTTGAGCATGGACTCAGTCTATTTTCCGAAGGGAACATGAAGAAAGCTGTTGTATATTTGGAGCTTGCCACTCGTGCTGGTGAGACAGCAGCTGATCACGTCAAGTATGTTATACTTCAAGAGATGTCCACTTCTTGTCGTGATAGAGCCATGCTTCTTGCTGATAATTGGCGTCCTTTGCCTTCTTCATCTCGCTGATTGAGTCTCCTTCTTGTTGTTTTTTCCAGCCTTAATGCTGCCTAAGCATATTTTCTCTAGCATGCTGCTTTTGAACTTGTTCAAGTACAAAGTGTAAATATACATAGTTTTTCTTGTAAATAATATTTTTCCTTAAAAGTTGCCATTTCTTTATGGTTTCTGCTGAATTTATCACTTCATGGAAAGTTAATAATGCTTTTACAATTTGTTGTTTAGAAATGGTACCAACTCTCATGGAAGATGTAGTATAGGCGAATTTTTTTTATTAGATACTCAAATAAATTATAAAAAAATTAAAACTTACTAAGAATTGCGTGAGTTTGGTTATTACCCCATTTTTAGTCCATTTCAGCTCAAGTAATTTTGAGTGAGTCATTTATTAACTCAGCCCGTTCTGACATGCCAAAATTTAGCCCAACCTCCATTTGACACCCACTACTCGTGCCTGTCCCGAGTACATCCTTGAATACATTTAGGTTCCTGTTACAGAGTTGCTCTTTTATGAGATTCTACTGAACTAAACAAATGTAAATGACACTTTGAAAAATCTATAAGGGATGACCGCACTCGGCTCGACCTCGACTTCGACTTCTTTTAGTACATTGCTACAACTTCTGTTTAGCTCATTCCGTGCTTACTCACATTACAGAGTTGCTCTATTCTAAGATTCTACTGAACTAAACAAATGCATACGACACACTTTGAAAAATCCTTAAGGGAAGAGAAACATAAAAATAGAATTGACTTATTGCAAAAGATTTTTCCAAACACAAAAAAGAGTGTTTTACCATCACCAAAACTAGACTGCCAAAATTGAAAATAAATAAAGGAGTTATTCAAATGAGATAGAGATACAAAGCTGACAAGTGCTACATTTTACAAGTCCAATCAGCAAATAGAGCAACAATTAATTGTAATAGATAGGGGTGTACATGGTCGGGTTGGTTCGGGTTTTTTAAATATCAAATCAAATTATTTGTGTCGGATTTATAAATTTATAAACCAAACCAAACCAATAAAACTCGGATTTTTCAACCTCGGGTTTTTTCGGATTGTTTCGAGTTTTTTGGATTTTCGGGTTTTTCCGTTAAAGTATTCATACAAACATATAATTTACTTGTAATTCAAATATTTCTTTAGTCCTACCAAAATACAAGGTGTTTTTTAAGAAAATAACACAAATTTGATATGATTAATGACACTAAAATATCCAACAAAAAAATAATAATGAAATCACATAAAACAAATATTGTAAATTAATAAGTCATAGTGAAAATGATCATAATTTAAAAGTTTTAAATCATGCTAAAATAAGTTTAATAAGTATAGTTACATGACTAAATATTAAAGGAAATTAAAATTAGATTACGTATTTTAATTGTCTAAACCAATGTAAAACTAAAGAACAAATATTCGATATTATTGTCATTCTTAGTGTTGAATTGATTTTCTTTTTGCATTAGTATTAATTTGATTTTGATTTAAGCTTTATTATAATTACCAACATTTATGAACTATAATTTTTATTGGACCATTCAAAATTCTAAGTTTCAAACTTGAAATAATATATTAAAAGATAAAACAATGAAAAAGTATAAGAAATATTTAAAAATTATATCAAAGTAAATAGTTTTATGTATAAAATAAAAATTTAAAGCTATCTATATAATGTCGGGTTGTTTTTTTTTTAGTTAAAACCAAACCAACTCAAATATAATCGGGTTTTTTTTTCAATACCAAACCAAGTCAAACCAAACTACTAGTCAATTTTTTTTTCTAGTTTGACTCAGTTTGCGTTTTGATTTAGTTTTCGATTCGGTTTTGTACACCCCTAGTAATAGAGATGCAAATTTGATCCAACAAAGAGGTGTTATATTGGTGTTATGTCTAACTATTTAGATAGAAATTGTGCACGGAAGGATGATTAGACAGAAGCGGAGTCAGAATTTCAAGCTTGTGGGTTCTAAATTTTAAAAAGGATAACGATCTTAAAATTCACAAAACACAAATTATGTTAATGAGATGTTTGTCATGTTTGAAAGCATTACCTTAGATATTGTTATTCTAAAAACTTATTTTAACAATGTGAAGATTTGAGTAATTTAATTTAAAGTTCTAAAATATTGTTAATGAAAGATGAATAATTTTTAATATAAATTTCGAACATTTTTACTATAATCTAGAATACTATTTTAAGTGAGAAAAAATTATTCAATTCACCATTAATATTTTCGCACCTAAAATATATTTTTTACTAGTTTCATTGTGACCTTGAACCATTACTACCTTCAAAAGTTAAAATTTTGAAAAGCAAATAACAATTATTCACTATGATCAATTATCAATATGTGGGATAACCCTAGAAAATATTAAAATTTGATTTTCGAATAGATAATTCTACGGTGGAAAAGCAAACAAATAAGAAAAAAATGAAAAAGGAGAGGCGAGAGTACATAGTACATATCGAAGGGCAAAGGTCGGATGATAGCAATCAGATCAACAATAAAAGTTAGAATCCTAACTTTTGAAAATAAATTTGGGTTAAAGTTTTTGAATATTTGAGTAGAATCAATGAAAATATATTTCGGTTAAAAAATTTTTAATCTCTGAGTAGAAATTAATAGTTAGATATTGTTTTAGCGTATGACCCAAACACTATTTTTATTTTTATTTTTATCATTAACCATTTTTCTGTTTTTTTTTAATATATAAATTATCATTTGCCAATTTTCTATACCGGTTTTCCGTATTTGCTTAAAAAAATATAAATTATCATTTGCCAATTTACGCGCGTATTGAATGACTTCACAGGGTGCATGGAGACCACTTGGCCACCCGCCTCATTATGCTAGAGGGTTCGCAGGAAATATATGTGTACGTTTTATTTGATATTTTAATACGAATATAGGATCTACGGAAAAGCCAGTGGGTTCGTCCGAACCCCCTTTCGCTACAGTAGCTCCTCCCCTACAATCAGATTGAGATTGGTATGGAGCTGCATTGCTAGATGATGAACCAAAATTTGGTGCAACAAACATATTAGAAACACGAGGCACAATATCATTTGGACTTTCTTGATTCAAAGCTTCTTTGCCTAATAGTGGGACTGTGTTAAGAATTCATCACCAACTTAACTAATGTTCAAAACACTTCGAAAATAATCTAGAAAATTCCGAAGATGTAAAGAAATAATGAAAGATTTTTAGAATGAGTATCCTAGAGAGAAAAGTCTAGAAATGTTCTATTCATTCTTATCTAGGTTCTTCCATCACCAGCTATAAATAGAGGTGATTCATTTGAGTTGTAACCAACCAAGTAAGTAAGTGCTTAAACAAAGCAAGTAAGAAAATAAAAGTGAATTCTCAAGTAAAGGGTGTTTCTGAAGCAAGCAACAAGTAAGTGATTAAGTTTGTAAGACCGAAGCGGGTCCTTACTTTGATTATTGCAAAAGATTTTTCCAAACACAAAAACGACTTTGTTTTACCATCACCAAAACTAGACTGCCAAAATTGAAAATAATAAAATAAAGGAGTTATTCAAATGAGATAGAGATACAAAGCTGACAAGTGCTACATTCACAAGCCCAATCAGCAAATATAGCAACAGTTACATGCAAATTGTAATAGAGATGCAAATTTGGTCCAACAAAGAGGTGTTATATTGGTGTTATGTCTAACTTTTTAGATCGAAATTGTGCACGGAAGAACGATCAGATTGAGATTGGTCAGAAGCTGCATTGCTAGATGATGATGACACATTGCTATGGACATTAGTTGATCATGACACATTGACATTGGCATAGCTTTCATTAGGAGGAAGGATGTTGCGTTTAAGTGCTGCTTTGTTCCTGTTATGTCTACCAAAAAAAGTCTCGGCGGCGTGAGTGGCAACTTGGGTTGAACTTCTACTGGGCACAAACTGTTTGGCGATTTGATTCCAACTTTGCCCAATCCCATCAAGAAACTTTTGTGTTCATCCACACTCCATCTATCTTTCTTGTTTCAATGATCTCCTGAATTTTCACTTTCATCAACTAATACACCCTTGTCTTCTTCTTCAGTCCATCTGCTTCTCGTCATTCTTGATCCTGAATCTTCATTATGATGATCACTACTTATCACAACCCAAATAGTTTAATGCTATGATTTTTCTCCCCCCATTTTTTGATTTTTCCCTTCTTTTTTTTTTCACTTTTGTCAAATTATGAGTACGCAATTGGAGAGCAAGTTATTTATAAGCGATAATCCTTAGTTACCGTTAGAATCTAACTGAACGATTAGGAAAATAAAAGTTGCACCAATTATTTTCTTGCACTTAAAATATTTTATTTAATTATAATCTTTATTCTGTAGGATTTACTCTTTTTTTTATTTATTCATTTGCTTCAAAATTCTCTTCAATATACTTAGTTACATAAAGTTTTATTTGTGGTTTTTTTTGTCAACAACCGGAGCTATGAGTTTTGGAATGGAATTCCATCGGTCCCAACAACTCCAAAATGTGGAAATTTGTCTAGGAGTGTGGTCGTCTTTAGTTTCAAGGTCGTTTCATGGATGTGAGCCCTTGGGTTGGAAGTTTAAGTATAATTAGGGCAAAAGTTGACTTTGGTCAATATTCGGAGTTCGGATGCTCGAATTGAATATCTGACTATTTCATTAGATTTGGGGGATGATTTTAGCATATGTGAGGTTTTGGTTGAATTTTCAGAGATTCTGAGGGAAGCTTGATATTTTTGGGTGAAAGTTAGTTTATTGTGACTTTAATGGGTTTCGGGTCAAGGAGACCTCAAATCTGTGTTTCGATGGTTCCATTGAGTCCGAAACATCGAGTTTCGTTGGGTAGCATATTTGGTTTGTGTGTTCAGAATTCCGAATGAATCTCGAGAGTCTTTTCAGTGAATTTTGTTGAGCCTTGGTGTTGCTAATGTTGTTGTTGTCTATTTAATTTCCCATCGCGATCACGGATCCCTCTCTCGCGATAGCGGATTCCTCTCTTGCGATTGCATAAGGGTCTTAGGTTGTGTGTTGTGATCGCAAAGGGTTAGGTCCTCAGGCATCGCGATCGCGTGGTCTATGCTGCGATTGTGAGGGTTGACCATCAATGCTCATTGTGACCGCAAGGCGTGGGGTCACGATGGCGAAGAGTTAAATTGACCTAAAAAGTGTTCTTTT